TGTTTATTCTTACCTCTTGTTGGTTTTACTCCAGGTGTCACATTTTATGTGGGGACCCTATGCACGCACTCCCACTCCAAACACATGGCACTGTACATTGGTGGATCTGGCTTTGTAATCACTCTTTGGACCCTTGTGTTAGTTTTACATGCCCCAGTGTTGGGGGTAGTAGGTTGACATTTTATGTGACTAGGAGGCTAAGTTGTTTACTGCAGTACTGTATTACAACAGTGAAAGGAAATTCTCCAGGGACAGGACTCTGGGAGACTGAGGCTCAAGAAATAGCTACTGTCTTTTAAGCCTTTTGGGAACAGGCTGCTCAGGATTCACTCTGGAGATTGCAGGTAGCATTGTGGAAATGGCGCTTGGAAAGCAAGGCAGCTAGAGGAGTCTGTGTAAATGTTGTAAAAGAACACAGGGTGTTCCTGTGTCACTCAGAAAACTAGACTTCATGTCTCAATTCAGTGCACACATGATCATAGAAGGTCTTTTGGAACAGTTACTGCAGACAGAGATAGGTCATGGCTTGGTGTGATAGGTTATTAGTTACAGACATTGGTTCCCTTTCTTGGCTGTTTCTGAGATGCTGATCTCTGAATTCTCATAGTGGGTGGGTGTAGTGAGCAGATCCAGTATCTCCAGTGTTCTGAGAAGAAGTGGTAGAAACATTTTGAGGAAGGGTGTTTTAATTTGAACAAGCTCTCAACCTTTCACTGTTCTCTTCAACGAACCACTCATCTTGGCTCTCTTCCTTGTCTCTGCAAAATACCTGGGGATTACCTCCTTCCAGCCATGACTCCTGGGATTAGGAGTGTGGGAGCTGTCATGGTCGCTGCTCCATGTGTGGCACGGGGCAACCGATTGCACAGAGAGGAGAGGAGGAGGGAGAGGAAGAGACATTTTACCATCACATCCCTCGTGGCTGTGGTTGTGGCTGTGGCAAGTGCAGCATGGGTACCCTTACCAAGCCCAGTGGCAACCAGGGCAGCACTAAATGCCTCCTGCAGCCTTGGTCAAAGCCTCATTCTGGGTTCTTACATGAGAAGGTGTTGTCTGACCTAACTCCAGCAGTGATGCTGGTGCGTTTGGATGGAGGGGAATGGTGGGCTCTGGTCTGGTAGAGTCTAGCTGCCTACACATGAATGCTAAGGACATTTTTTAATAGAGCAGTGGCAGAGCTGTTTAGGGAATGCTTACCTGCAACTGTTAGAGATTCAGTCCAAATAAAAAAAAGTCACCTTCAGATTTCTAGATGTTTTTTAGAACACTGAGCTGATTTTTATGGCTTTGCAACATCCCCTGCTGGTGTTTTTCCTCTGAGGGATTTTAAAGTCAAGCCAAGTGAAGTTTGGACTTCGAAAGTAGTATTATTATGTCTTGTTATGCCTTCTGATTCCTTCAAATTCAACACGTAATTCGAGGGGCATATGCCACCTTAGATACAAGGCAGAGGAAAGGCTGAAATGTGCCTCCGCTCTCTTGCTCTGTAAGGCACAGAGGTGCTGAGTTTCTTATACCTAAGAAATGTTAGCTGCTTCTAGGGCTGTGTGTATGATGAGAGAACAAAGTGATTTGGGGATCACAGCAGTTTCTGAACCCATCTTCATCATGCTGCAAGTCAGAGCCAGCTGGGTGATAAGTGGGGCTACAGTTCTGCTCTGGAGAACGTGCTGCGATCCCGAGAAGTCCGCAGCAGCGCCGCATGGCCGGACACCACGCAGCACAGTACAGCTGTGGTTACTCAGGCGGATCGTGCCCTTTTCCCCATCTCTGCTCTTGCCTCTGTGCTCCTCAGTGTCCTGTTCTACCCCTTGTTTGGTTTCAGTTTGCTGTTTTTTATTTATTTTTTCTTTGCTTTATCTTATGCTATTTTACTTCTTTATTTTATTTTTGGATTTTGCTTCTTCCAGCGTACCCATCTCCCTCATTTTTTGTTTGTTTTTGTTTAATTCCCGTCATTCCTTTAGACCACCAACCTGGCTCCCACCTCCTCCAGTGCCACTATTTCCTTAGCCAACCCCGAGGTCTCCATACTAAATTACCAATCTGCACTCTACCAGCCCTCAGCGGCATCCATGGCTGCGGTGGCCCAGCGGAGCATGCCCCTGCAGACAGGAACAGCGCAGATCTGCGCCCGGCCTGACCCCTTCCAGCAAGCTCTCATCGTCTGCCCACCAGGCTTCCAAGGTAAGGAACAGCCTTGCAAGGTCTTGGCCAAGTCACTGCTCCCTCCCCTGTGCTGTTTCATCTAGCTCTTATTGGAAGCAAACTTCCTTAGTGCAGATCATATGGTTGAAAATTTGCTGGCCTAGTAAATCAGAGCAAGGAGCTTGTAGCAGATGGAAATGTTTGCAACAGCAGAGGATCTTCCAGGCACCTCCAGCACCATGAATTGGAGGTAGCTGGTCTAAAACAATTGGAAAGACACTGAGAAGAGACAGGGGGAAAGTAAGCAGTATTGGTTGTCTTTCACCCTCAACAGAGTTTGAAGTTCTTCTGTCTCACTTTGGTAAACTTGAAAACTTTCCCCCCAGCAGTGATAAATCAATACATAACTTCTCAGTAATTTAGTTGTTACAAGGGAGACTCAGGAGGTTAATGCAGGAGGGAGTGTGGTGCAGGTGGAGATGAGGGTTTGCCCATGTAACAGATGCATGTGACCATTTATCAGTACAATTCCTGCAGCTCCAGCCCTACCGCAAACAGCTCCACCTGTCTGTACCAGTGGCAGGTAACCATTGTCAAAACAACTTGAGCAACAATCAGATTTAGCCATTTTGTCCTCCTCTTGCAATTCAGAAAAATTAGGCAGGTATCTGTAGGAAGTGGTCTAAATAGGCCTTGGTTCAGCTGGTGCAGCTTCTGCTCTTCATTTCTACAAGCCTGTCTGTACAGCAGTCTCTAGGTGCTTGTTAAATGTTCTGCAACATTATCAAAGCTCTTTTGAACTAGAGGAGTTTAGTTAGACCTCTTCTACATAGTTAAAATGCATCTCGAGGGTTTGACTTCAGAAATGTATTGCTGGAATGTGTAAGCTAGCATCTTCCACTTGCTGTCTGGAGAAAGCTCTAAAGCAGGAGACGTAGCACAGACTGTAGTGGACGTAGTGCACTAAGGTGATGGAGAGGGCAGCTTCCTCTAGCTCCGTTAAGCAGTGATTGGAGTTCTGGAGGTGCTAGATTACATGGTCAGATCAGAGCCTTCTAAGTAAGAGTCCCGAGAAGCTGTGCAAGAGGAAATTGCCTATCCACATCAAGGGATAAGGAGTTTTGAATTCCCATCCCACTGTTCCAGTTTGGTGTGCAGGGAGCATTCTCACTTAGCAATGGGTTGTGGCTTGCAAGGGCCATTTTCAGTTGCCAAACCAGAGAATATGGGTGAAGAGAAGTCATTCCTTCCCACCTCTTCCTTTACTCCCTGCACGCATTTTATTGAGATGTTTCCCATAGTATCCTAAAAATATGAACTCAGTTAATTGCTTACCATCTTTGAAAATGTCTTTTCTGCATCCTTATACATGTATCATGTTTGTGAACATTTGATGGACATCTTTGTGCTGGGGTGGAATATGTGAGACTCTTAAGAGCCCAATTTTTTGGAGGGACTGAACACCGCAATTTAAGTGGACATCAGCAGGTGCTTTTAGGCACCTCTGAAAACCAGACCCTTGCTCCTGGCAGTGCTGTCGATGGCTAACGCTGTACCTTCTGTGCTGGTGGAACAGGGTTGCAAGCCTCCCCTTCGAAGCATGCTGGGTATTCAGTTCGGATGGAGAACGCCGTTCCCATTGTCACTCAGGCTCCTGGGGCCCAGCCTCTTCAGATCCAGCCAGGACTCCTCGCACAGGTAAGGAGCTCTGAAGGCACCGACCTTGGCAGGTGTTTTTTGTGTTATTTAGCTGTTGGAGGCTGGGGAGAGTAGCTTTCTCTGAGGACCTTCTTGGTGCAGTTAGGAGACTTGGGCAGCTATATGAGGGTCTCCAGCTTTCTCTGAAAGTGCTGAACTTCTCCCAGTTCATTGTTCAGCTCAAAATCTATGTCACAGTTTTAAAAGTCTCTAGAAAGATCTCCTTTCCTTTCACTTCTCCACTGGAGTCGGTGGGAAGCCTTGGGGCAAGGTGTGTCAGGCCTCTGCTGAGGAGGCACTAATAATAACCTTCCTGCATCCTCTCAGTCTCAGCAGTAGCTTCTGGCCAGGTGTTCTACTGGTGGATTTCATGCTGCCGATAAATATCTTCTTCCACGTTTTAAGTTTGCACCCTTCTGTTTTATGAGCTGCCCCTCTTCTCATAAGTTATGAGAGAGCTGTAGGGACAGAGACAAGGGCCCGACAGCCAAGGAGCTCTCCTTGTCAGCAGCACTTGTTGGCACAGTTGTCCAAAATGTGCTCACGGGAACAGCATGGTTCCTCCCAGGAGAAAAAAAAATAACAGGAATGGGCACCACTGGTCACGTGCACAAAGGAGCACCTCCTCAAAAAGGAGGAACAGTTCATTCCTCCTTGTGCTGGCTTGGGTGAATCTGCCCCTGCTGGTTCTCAGATGGTGTCGTGGGACTTCTGCTGATACAAGGCATGTTTCTGGCAGTCAAAAAAAAAAAAAAATTGTATCTCATACACTTATATTAAGTTGTACAGCCTTGAAAGTATGACCTGCAAATGAAAACTGCATGCCTGTGACTTGGGATTGGTTGGTGTGCTGTGCCTTCCTTAACACCAGCACAGTCATACGCAGTCAGGTGCCAGCAGACTTTGGGGTGTACGCCTGTGTGCTGCATTGCTGGGGGGAGACACTTGGTGCAATTGCCTTTCTCTGCCAGCTGCCAGTTGCGCTTATCTTGTCAAGACAGATCAAAACACAACTTGGAGCCTGAGCGATTACCATTAGCTAACATGCTGTGCCCTTCCTAATAGCAGAGGCTTTGTTAGGGGGCTGTCTGAAACACTGAACCGACCTCTGTTGCAGCCACTTGTAACAACCTGCGTGGGCCACCTCTCTTGTTTGGTAGGAAAGCAGAGCCTAAGAAGCAGGGGAAACAAGAACAATAGCAAAGCGATAAGCAGTCTGAGCAGACACGGTTGCAGGCACCTATTACTTGTGCAAGAAGTTCAGGCAAGGCAGTAGGTGAAGGAGGTGATGGAGCTTTGCAGGCTCCCACCGTTCTGCCAGGCTTCCTGAGGTGTGATGTTATATGGGGCTCGAAAGGGTGACAGTAGGGTGTGAAGCATCCCAAAGGCAAGGAGGATCCTGAAAGCGCTCAGGACCTCCCGCTCCTTCTTTCTTCTCGAGGTGGCCTTGGGATCCCCATGCAGTCTGTGGGAGGGGAGTGTTCAGGAGGAGCTTTGCTACCAGTTCTTGTGCTGCCCCTGCTACATGAACTCACATTTCATGGGTTGCCCCTCTTGTGCTTTCTTCTGACGTTTTGTTCGCTGCCACAAGTGGATTTAAGCTGTTTCTGAGAAACACCCCTCACTTGTGTGGATTTTTAGGTTTTGATGTAATGAAAGGGAGGCAGGCTGCCTGTTGCTACATCTTCCTGTCTCAGGCAGTGAGCAGTGCTAGCTGCTGCTCCAGTGGCCGGGTGCTTGGAGTGATGCCCGTGGCATCTGGTGTCTGCGGGCCTCGCTCCCTTCGGGCTCAGCAGCTGGTCTGACAAACAAATCTGTACCTGGTTCCAGTTTCCTGAATGGAAAAACACAGCTCCTTTGTAGTGCATTGTAGTCACATCTGATCTCTGAGCGGCTGCGTGTCTCTCTCCCAGCAGAGAACTATTCCTCTCGTGCACAGCTGCTTATCGAACGCTCTTCAGACCAGACCGTGCCATTGCCCTAGCTACTACAGGGACTGTCCCCAGCAGAGAGTGTAGCACCTCCAGAGCCCACTTCTGTCTTTCCACCCACCTTACTCCTTCCCTGATCAAGCATGATGCTGCTCCTTGTGCTCCCAGCACTGTGTAGTGCCCTCGAGCTTTCTCCCCCACCCAGCACGTGGCACAGGTCCCTGTGCTTGCCCACATCAGGAAGCCTGTGGCTGGCAAAGCTTTACTGAGTCCCAGCACAGCTGGCATCCAGCTCTCCCTGTGTGTGTCATACAAGGCCAGCAGTTCCAGAGGAGGACAGGGAAGGAACTCCAGGAGCTAGCGGGACCCAGGGCAGAGGCAGTGACGGGTTTTGAGCATCATCTTTGGCAGCTGTGTGTCTGCAGCCTGTGGCATGGAGCTAAACAGAGGAAGCAGCTTGCTAGATTGCAGAGCCAGTGGCCAAAGTAGCTTGTTTGTAACTTCTTTGGGTCTGTTTTCACCCTCTTAAGCAAGTGTGGTCCACCTATTGAATGCACAGAGACCAGTGAAAGGAGATTGATTCTGTCTTTACTAGTAGTTCTGTGCAGCTTCAGCTCTCAAAAGAAACAAAGCTGCAGAGTTTTCTGGCAGGCTTCCATGACGTGACCCAGAACTGTTCCCTGTCCTCCCATGCGTTAGCACAGCGCGCCGTGCGCGTGGATCAGCCGAGGCAAGTCTTACCTTCAGATTAAATCATTCAGTGGTCCTTGCCTAATAAGTGAGGAATTTGTGCCTGGACCCTTACACTGCATCTAAATTTATGCACTGCGCTTGGGAAAGGAGCTCACGTTTGTTCAGGTCTCTTCCTGAAAAAGGGAGGAAGCTGTTTTCCCTGCAGGTAAATCCAGGTAGTCCCCTGAGACTGACTGGAACAGTAGTTCAGTCTCCTCTTTTAAATCAAAGCTGGGACAAAATGGGGGGGGGAAAAAAAAAAAAAAGCTTTTTTTTCCTTCCTGATCTTTTTGATCTTTTTATTATCTTTGCATTCTCCTCCTCCCTGCTCTGAGCTGTGGCAGTCCCTGGTTGTGGCTTCTTAGATGAAGAGCTCGCGGGAGCTCTCTAACTGTCCATCCTTTGCAGATGTTGCTAAGAAGCCTCACTATAGGAGCCTTTTCATCTAACTCAGCAACGTGGAAAATTACAAGTCAGCCAAACTTTGGAGCAGAACTGGAAAAAGGTGGTTTTTTGTAGAGGTGTGGGGAAGGTGGTTTGGTTTGGTTTTACTGGAAGATAGGAGGGAGTCACAAGGACCATTAACAGGATTTTTGTGAGGATGGAGACTGGGACAAATGCATGTTTGTGAGAAGGCTCCCCTCTAAACTTTAGCCTCTTCGGAGCTGTGAGATAACACAACACAGGCCAAATATAGTAGTGCCAGCTGGGACTGAGGGGGGCTGTAGCTTGTACCCCTGCATTCCCTAGCCCAGGCAGCGAGAAGCTGCCAGAGCCGCCTTCAGGCAGTATATAGCAAAGAAAATTTCCCAAGACAAAAAAAAACAATCATCTGACGTGTGTGGAGTCACTGGGGCAGAACGACCTGAGTCATGCCTGTGGCAGCGCAGCGGGAGGGGTGGTTGTATAGCAGAGCAATGGCTCAACTAAGATTTCCACTCCTGCAAGGGGGGCACCCACTCAGAAAAAGCCAGAGAGCACAGGGAGAGGAGAGGCGTGTGACGTGTGGCTGTGCACAGCTCTGCTCTGCTTCGGCTGGGAGGCTCCTGCAGACCTGCAGGCAGGTGACTGGGCTCCTTGGCCCCTGCAGTAAGATGTTCCTCGTGAGAAGCACTCAGTGATCAAAGAGCATTCTCTTTTGGTGTCCCTAAATTCACCTTTTTTCACCTCCTTACAAAAGCCTTACAGACCCCTGTTCTCTTTTCTGATCTGTGAAAAGTTCATTCCCCTTTTTAGTGCCTTTAAGTTCCTAAAGTCCTTTAGGTCCTGTTGGGGTGTGAAGGAAAATTTACTGCAGGTGGGGCAAAATAACACTGGGACCATAGTGTCCAGCTGATCTGAAGATTCAAAAGTTGTCAAAGAGTTTGATATTTGGGTTGAAAACCCAACCAATGTTGATCTTTCCCATTCCCAGCTTAACCTAAAACACAGCTGCTGCTTTGGATAGCAGACATTTTTATTGCCCTCCTTTGCACTCTCTATATTCATAACTTTTACTGATTTTACTGTGGTTTCCTAACACAAATTCTGTCATCTGTGACTGAAAAGAGGTACATGATAGTTAGTATACTACATGATAGGTAGTATGACCATGATCATTATTAGGACCCCCAGCTGCAAATGGACTGCCACTCATGGTCGATGTATGATGCCTCTCATTAAGAAGTTTTTTTCCCTCTGTCTGACAGCAAGCGTGGCCCAGTGGCACTCAGCAGATCCTGCTCCCTCCTGCCTGGCAGCAGCTGACTGGGGTGGCCACCCACACTTCTGTCCAGCACACGACCGTCATCCCGGAGTCCATGGCAGGCACCCAACCACTGGCTGACTGGAGGTAAACTGGAGGTCCTTGGAGGCTTCCTGGAGGAGGTGTGAACTGGGCAGGAGGGATGGGGTCGTGGGAGGCTGCAGAGCCGGGGGGAGAAGGGTGGAGGCTGCAGCCTGCAGCCCTCCCTCTCTGAGAGTTACGGGCAGCTTCGCTGTTCCCCACCCTTCAAGTGGAGTGCCAAACCCACACCACTGCCTTGAGTTGGTTTGCTCGTTCCTGGGGGTGGGGACTGGGAGCCCAAGGGGACCTGGAGGAGGGTGTCTCGGTGCAGGTGGTGGGAGCCTGTGGACGAGCCTGCTGAAGAGCCACAGTTACATTTTGAACGTGTGCTTGTCTTCCCCCCTTGCAGAAACACCCACGCTCACAGCAGCCATTACAACCCCATCATGCAGCAGCCCGCACTGTTAGCTAGCCACGTGACTCTCCCTGCGGCCCAGCCCGTCAACGTGGGCGTTGCTCACGTCATGCGCCAGCCCTCCGCCGCCACCAGCTCCAGCAGGAAGAGCAAGCAGCACCAGTCGGCACCCCGGTGAGTGCCCTCGGGGCGGCCCAGCCGTGTGGGCGTGCTGGTGAGGTGACGTTTGCTGACACCTCTCAATCACATCAAGCTTGTTCCGTGGCCCGCCGGCGGTCAGATCACGCTTTTTGAGACTGGGCTCTGCTGTTCCACTTCATCCACTCGCAGGTCAGGAAGGCGGGTCAGGGGTAGGAGGTAGTCGGGTGCATTTTATGCCCAGAGAGCATCATGTTGTGCAGGACTTAGTGGCTGGAGGGGATGCAGGGTGGTAGACTCAGGCCCTCTTCATACAGCTCATTATGCTGCTGTGATCACCTGAGGTCTTGCAGTCACTGTAATGAAAAATGTAACTATATTCGTGGGTCAGCACGGTGCAATGGCCAGTTGCCACACCTTTTCTTCCCATGTCATCTCACAATACTGCTGAGGTGCAGCATCTGCACTGCCACAGGGTTGTGCGTCTCCAGGGGACCACATCTTCAGGAATACGTGTCTGATGTGTACACACAAGATCTGCCCTTTAAAAGCAATGGGATGATGACCTGTCTTCTGAGGTTTAATGCCAGGCAGAGTGGAGGACTGGCATGGCTTTAGGCCACCTTCAAGTCTCTAGCTCCCAACATAGGTGGTTGGTCTTTATCTTCAATAGTCCGCACCAGCAACAGATACCCACACTGGCCTTTTAATAATCATGGCAGTATAAACCAGAGAGCATTTTATAAGGATATCTCATACAGAGGCAGTCTTTAGATGCCTAAATCTAGCAACTCTCAGTAGGCATGTTTGGCTCTGGAGCCCCCAACACAAGAAGGATGTGAACCTGTTGGAGTGTGTTTAGCAGAGAGCCACAAAAATGATCAGAGGGCTGGAGCCCCTCTCCTATAGGACAGGCTGAGGGAGTTGGGGTTGTTTAGCCGGGAGAAGAGGAGGCTCTGGGGTGACCTTATAGCAACCTTCCAATACCTGAGAGGGGCCTACAAGAAAGCTGGGGAGGGGCTATTCACAAGGGTTTGTAGTGACAGGACGAGGGGTAATGGCTTTAAGCTAGAAAAGGGGAGAATCAGGTTAGACGTTAGGAAAAAGTTCTTCAATATGAGGGTGATAGATCCCTGAAATAGGTTGCCCAGACAGGTGGTGGAGGCCCCATCTCTGGAGACATTCAAGATCAGGCTGGATGAAGCTCTGAGTAGCTTGATCTAGTTGGAGGTGTCCCTGCTTATGACAGCAGGGTTGGACTAGGTGAGCTTTGGAGGTCCCTTCCAGCCCAGACATTCTATGACTCTGTGATTCTATGACTCTGCAAGGAGGAGACTGGGTTTTGGTTCATACTACGTTACGTGGCACAACTCAAATGGTAGGATGATTGTAGTGCCTGTCACAGCCCTGTAATCTTGCCTAGAAGACAAGGCTGTTTAAGATGTATTTGCAGCTGTCCTGGGAAAAGTCCTCTGGGCTGTGAAACTAACACATTACTTAAAAATAAACGTGAGTGCGTGCTGGGAAGAGAACCAAAACGGGTCACCACTTGTGCGGCGGCAAAAATGGAGGCGCTTGTGGTTTTCCTGGGTGACTGGACTGAGGCCAGAGGAGCTCTGAGTTCACCACCAGTGTGACTCTGGTTAAGAGGCCACTATTTACATCCTTCCCATTCATCTGCTCTCTAATGTTGCATTTACTTTGGGTGGACTCCAGCTGTCTTAGTCCATTTGTAATGTGGAGGAGAGACAGCTCTGTCCCCAGCCAGCCAGCAAAAGAGCATGCCTGTTGCAACCAGTGTGCCTGTGCTGGGCCTCCCCTCTCCTGCCCTCTCCACAGGCAGGGTGGCAGGGTCCAGCAGGCATCAGACACTTCCAGAGGATTCTGTGGCTTCATTAATTGTGGCACTTTTGTAGCCAAAGGAGGAACGTGGTCCTTTGGAGAGGAGGGTACTCCACGCTGCTCATTGGTATTCAAAAAGCACTACAAATGCTACAGTGCAGCTGTTTGTTATGTAAAAAGAGGTCCTGTGTACGTTGGTATAGTGTGATACACCAGAAGTACTTCCTTCTGATGGATGCCACCTATTCCTGTTGTTAGATTTCAGGCCAAGCTGGACGTGCAGCCCAGGCCCCACCATAGAACAAAACCAGAACTTCGTTTTTTTTTCATTTTTGAATCTGAAAATGTTCTGCAATAGGCAGAAGAAATACAAAAAATTAAAAAAAAAAAAAAAAAAGAAAGAAAGAAAATGAGGGAAATGGGCTTTAATCAGTGTGCTTTAGTAAATATTCCCACCTGCAGACCTGTGCTGCACTGTTGAGTGGACAGGTTCTGCGTTCAGATCCCTTATCCAGATGGGCCCATTCCAGCTGTCAGGCAGGGAAGCTGAAATTAAGAAGATGGGGAAAAATACGACTTGAGAATGTTTTTCTACTGCATAACAAAAAGATTGTGCTTCTCCTTCTTATGTATATGTGCTGTATCTGCCACATCAGGTGGGAATGAAATGAAAGCAAGTACCTGTTCGCCCATCTGTGTGCTTTCAGGCATGGGACTCCAGCTATCCTAGAAGATGAAACATTGGGCAGGAAATGTTCACTGAAAAGATTCTTAAACAGAAAATTAAAGTTTCAACTAATAAAAGTAGTTTTCCTGATAAAAATTGTTGTTCTTCACAACAAATTCTTATTTTACCTTTAGCTTTTTCTGGCCAGAAAAAAAACCTGGTCATGATGCACCTACACAGGATGCAGGAGGAAGGGATTATCATTTGGGTTGTTCTTCCTCCTGCAACAGCCACACTGTGCCTGCCCGTGTTTTCCTCCAGGCTCTGTGACTCAACCCCGCATCTCAGCGCAGACTCCTGGGGGGCAGCATTTCTTCTTTAGAAATTCCTAGGGAAAACAAAATTGAACTTTTTTACTGTAAGAAACTCATTTTCAGCCAATTCTATGAATAAGTCGTGTGAGGCACTCTGTCCTTCGAAGGGGTGACTGGGCAGTTGTGCCGTTTTCCTAGGCTCCGTAGAGCGGCGCCGCTGAACCGGAGAGCAGGAGTTAACAGCCGCGGCACCAGGCCGCTTAGGCAAGCAGAGTTTGCCCCTTCTGACGACCTTTCCCGTTTCCAGGAACGCACCCACCTACGAGGTGTCCTCCTCGCAGTCGGTGGGCTCGCCGCAGCGGTCGAAGCGCGTGAAGGAGAACACGCCGCCGCGCTGCGCCGTGGCCCACAGCAGC